ACCGCTTGATATTTTGGTTCTGTTGAGTGGTTTGGAACCCAATGTTGTTGGATTACGTTAAGTGGTCCGGAATCCTTGCTCTTCTTAATTAGGTTATCTTAGAATCCTAGATTCGAGTGAATGGGAATTACCAACAATAGATCTTGTGAATACAAATTAGAATTACCATGTTATTATTCATAATCCAAGTAGGGAATTATATAGATTTACTTGGTTAAATTCGTGAAATGATATGTTATCGAATCGTTTGATTAACGTAATTAAATGCTAAGATCGTGCATCTTTGATTCATGAATTGATTAATTGACGAGATTGTGGAATGACGCTGGATAAGAATGTTGCTATTATGATTATTTTAGTTGATCAATGTTTCTAGAGAATAATATTGTGCATTATTAATTCTTTAATATGTTACACACTATGAATTGTGATTTTATGTGTGAAACATGATGATTTATGTGATGGATGAAGTGGAAATGTTAATCGTCATGTGAGATTGTTATGTTGGATACTATTGTTATTTTATGATTAGACTTGTTGATAAATATGGCTAGAGAATATGATTGTGCTTCGTCGTTTGTTCTTTGAAATATTGCATGATATGCATTGTGGTATATTGTTGGGACATAACGATTTATGTGATGAAGGTTTGAGTGTAGTGAAATAATGAACTACGAATGGCTTGATCCTTATTTAGGGTATATAGGTAGTCTAATGAAGATGTTAGACGCAACCATAAAGTCTACGAAGAATTATTGCACAGTTAGATCTTAAGTTGTGTTTTGCCATTTCTCAGAGGCGGGGTATGTTAGAGATACATGTATTTTGTGACGTCACGTGTCGATCCTGGACGTATGTCAGGATCAGGGTGTGACACTCATTGTACCGTAATGGACTAATACTATAAGAAACGGTGTTGAAATCATCCTTCAAATAATACGGTGGGTCCAAATCCTTCTTTGAAAATTTCGAGTAGTTATCTAGAAGGATTTGATCATCTAAAAAATTTTCGGACCTTTTACCCGTTTAAATTTCACCTTTGTCCTCGACAATTTCTGACTTCGCCACTATTTACACCTAAATTGGAATCTCCTTTCAGTAATGTATTATTTCGACTTAGATTTGGACATCTTTCGAATTTAAAAATATATTTTATATTATAGTGAGACATGTGTCACACACTTGGTGAAAAGAGTCTACAATTGGATACTATTTAAACCAAGCAAAGGTAGATGCTTGCTTGGACAATGAATAAAGCACATATAGCTAAGAAACAATAAGTTGGTAACCTTTACTCTTCGATCCTTTCTGCTTTTTATCCAACATTTTTTTTTCTTTCAGATTTCTCAATTCAAATGAGCCTAATACCCTCAGCGGTTTATTGATAAGGGGAATTGTTATTGGCATTCCAAAAATCTTATTTTGCACTTTAAACTTTCTATAATTAGAAGGAAAAATACACTTGTGAGGAGTGTAGATTGAGATTTTTTGAGTGTTAATAACAGTTCACATTGATAAATTTTAATTTTATTATTAATTTCATCTTGTACTTGATGATAATTATGCAATATGATAAAAAAGATATCTCATATTTAAAATTTAAGTTGGGTGTAAAATAAGATTATATGGGTTCAAATAAGATTTTCCAAAATCAATGTGTATAACTCCTACTTTTCTGTTGTCAAGTATCTAACACATACTATTCGCTAGGCAAATGAAATATGTTATCGTTTTATTAATACGATGTTAGTTGAACAATGTTAGTGAACATGTTAAACTCTAAGACTAAGATCTTTTTTTTTCCTCTCTCATTGTACCGTAATGGACTAATACTATAAGAAACGGTGTTTAAATCATCCTTCAAATAGTACAGTAGGTCCAAATCTTTCTTTGAAAATTCCGAGTAGTTATCTAGAAGGATTTGGTCATCTAAAAAATTTTCGGACCTTTTACCCTTTTAAATTCCATCCCTGCCGTCAACAATTTCTGACTTCGCCACTGTCTACATCTAAATTGGAATCTCCTTTCAGTAATTTATTATTTTGACTTAGATTCAGACATCTTTCGAATTTAAAAATATGTTTTATATTATAGCGAGACGTGTTGCACACTTTGTGAAAAGAGTCTATAATTGGATACTAATAAACTAAGCAAAGGTAGACGCTTGCTTGGATAATGGATAACGCACATATAGCTAAGAAACAGTTAGTAACCTTTACTTCGATCATTTATGCTTTTTTATCCAACATTCTTTGCTAATTAATTAAGCATACAGCAAGGTAGATGACCGAAAGAAAAAAAAAAAAGCATAGATGTTTTACGGATAAAGCAGATCCAGCTGGAAAATGGTAACCTTAATGTTCGATCAGTTTAAGCTTTATTATTTCAAACCATATAGCAAAAGACACCGCTTAATCTGTTGCAGACAATCTCCAGCCGACACCCTTTCAAAGGACATGAAATGTAATTTTCTACAAAAACTGAATATTTCTTGAGAAATAACGAAAATCCTATTCTTAGGGGCCCTATAGACGGTACAAATAATGTTATGAATACATAATAATTGTAGAACTACAAGACTTGGAGAAATAATGTTGTGCAATTGTTGAAGGAAATTGTTATTGGCACTCCAAAAATCTCATTTTGTACTTCAAACTTTCTATAATTATAAAGAAAAATACATTTATGAGAAATATATAATGAGATTTGTGGAGTGCTAATAACAGTTCCCATTATTGAAAATTAATACAGTAGAAAAAACAAACCTAGACTTAGCAAAGTTGACTAGTCTACACTCAAATTTGAATCTCCTATTCTGTTGTTTCGATTAGATTAAAACTTCCCTTGAATTAAAAATTTTAATACACACACACACACACACACACACACACACATATTCTTTAAGAGAATGGACTCCCATTTTTTTTTAACATTGGATTAGTTTTGGGGTCTATATCACATCGAACTTTGACGATTTGAATCATCTATTTTTCAAGTTGCACCTCATAGATTATCCTTACAAGATATTGGCCAAATCGAAAATATTATAGGCATCTAACTGAGTTTAAAGAAATTGTCGAACACTATGTTCTAAGAGATATTAAAATTTCATCGTGACAATTAGCTAGACAAATAGTTTCGAATTGAAATGATTTTTTGCATATATAATCTATGAATCGAGACTTGCAAAATAGACAATTCAGATTGTTGAAGTTCTATGTGGAATGAGTCCACAACTAATCCCCTTATTTGAAAAAAGAAAGTGAGAATCACTTCTCTTAAAGGGCCTAATATATATACATACTAGCCTTCATACATGTGCTTATACGCATGCAAAAGACATTTTTTGAATTACTGCACGCTGCACGCCCCTAAAGATCTTTTATGTGTGTCCAAAGTCCAAACCACATGCTTGGCAAGCATCTCAATTTTTATTACACAAAGTATGAAACAATCTTGTTGCATTGTGAGAAGGTTTGAACTAAATGAATAATATTAGACCATGCTAGAAGAAACCTACGGATATTCCACGTAATAGTGAGATACTATTTTTTTTTTTTTAAAAAACAAATTTTTCTATGACAAAAAAAAAAAAAAACACCATGACGAAATTACCCCTGTATTATTTTGGGCTGCTTTTGAACTTTTTTGTTTGGGAGGCATTTCTGTCCCATTATTTTGGTGAAGCCTATGACCCCAAAAGGGGCTGCCGACTTTATATATAAAAGATGATATATAGACACACACACACACACACACACACACACACACATGGGTAATGCCAGGAAAACTACATTTGGAGACTAAATTTGCAAACTAAATGATGTGTCACTAATAGGAATAAGCATGTTTATCAACGTTTGAATAATAAACCAATCATCAACTTTCATGTCCTTTAGTTTCCAAAACTTTGTCTACAAATTTAGTCTCCGTAGCATTACCCTATATATATACACACACGTGTTGCACACTTGGTGAATCGAATCTACGATAGAAAATTAATAAACTAAACAAAGGTAAATGCTTGTACGGATAAAGCACATCCAGCCAAAAAATAAAATAAAAATAAGGATCCATTCCCTTAAAATGCATGCTAATATACATATATAGACATGTGTTGCTAGGGGTGGTTCGGTATGGGATACCAAACCGAAAGTAGTATCTCGAATCCCAAACCGAAATGTTTTGGGACGGGAATTTGAAGACCAATCCCAAACCAAAATTTCGGGAATCCCAAATTTCGGGAATCCCGAAATATTTTCGGGATTTCGGGACAAATCGGGAATCCCAAATTAAAATATGAAATTATGAATTATTCTTCAAATATATAATTTAAGAACACATTCATGAACTAGGAATGTCATTTCATTCACACTACCATTTAATCAAATATTGGCATGCTTGATTGTTTTTATCAAAGTCAAAATTCAAATTAATTAAACCCTTTTGACAATTTGTTAAGAGACAAAAGAATCAAATCTTTTGAAATCATTAGCCATGACAGCAGCAATAATAAAATCCAAATGAATATCAAACAGAACATGAAAAATATGCAAGGTGTAAGGCATTCCAGGTTGCAGAGCAAGAATTAGAAACTACTAGCATCAATTATAAAAGAATAATATATAATATATATGTATAAATTAATAATATATAATTTCGGTTTGGTATGGGATTCCCAAAATATTGAGAAGCCAATCCCAAATCCCATACCAAAATTTCGGGATCGGTTCGGGATAGCATCCCGAAAATTTGGGAAATTTCGGTTTGGGAAATTTTTGGTTTGGGATCGGGATTTTTTCGGTTTGATTTGGGATTTTCGGGAATTTTTTCCACCCCTATGTGTTGCACGCTTGGTGAACAACATCTACAATAGGAAACTAATAAACTAAGCAAAGGTAGATGCTTGTATAAAGCACATCCCTACACCCATCCTCACACCAAAATCAATCATTCTTTTTAGCTCAGAATCCTTCTTCACCCCTACATCCATCCTTACAATGTCTTCTTTAAGGAGAGTGTATAAACAGTTTGAGGAGCAACAGAAAAGATTGTTGGCCAATCTCGAGGAAGATGGAGGTGGAGATGAGGCTTTTGCAATGGAGGAAAATAAGGATGATGACCATAGAAGGCAAAGGGCTTCACATTCCCACTGTGTCATGGAAGCTGTGGGTCAGATATCCAAACCCAGACGTGCTGCAAACTTCAATAGAAATAGGGAAATACGAGGTAATAATCTCTTGGATGATTATTTTATCCCCAATTGTGTATTCCTTGATCATGTTTTTAAATGTCATTTTAGAATGCAATGAAGTTTGTTCAACAAAATCATGAGTGCTATTTGCAACCATGATCAATACTTTATGCAAAAAAAAGATGGTTTCATATTCTAGGTCTTTTTCATAGCAAAAAGTTGTTGCTTCCTTGTGGATGCTTGCATATGGAGCATCTGTAGATCAAGCATTTGCAGATCAAGTGAATGAGATAATGAGGACGGGAAAATCAACCGTTCTTGAGTCCCCGATGCGATTTTGCTCCGCAATCGAAGCCCTCTATACAAAGGAGTACCTCCAGAAACTGATGCATAGGGATTTGCGAAGGCTATTGAGGAATGGTGAGATGCGAGGTTTCCCTGGCATGATTGGAAGCATTGACTGCATGCACTAGACCTGGAAAAACTAACTAAATGCGTGGCAAAGAGTGTATGGCGACAGAAAATGAGCCAAAAGTATCATTTTGGAAGCAGTGGCTTCATTTGATACATAGATTTGACGTGCATTTTTTGGTGTTCCAGGAGCTCAGAATGACCTAAATGTCCTTGCACAATCTCCAGTTTTCAACGAAGTGTTGCAAGGAAAAGCATCCAGAGTAACATATCCAGTCAATGGCCATACATATGACGGGACATACTACCTTGCAGACGGCATTTACCCAAGGTGGATAACGTTTGTCAAAACAATCCCATATCCACAAAGTGAAAAATAAAAACTGTCATGCCCCGATCCCGATATACGGCCAGGATTGACACATAACGTCACCAAGCATCTGTATATCTAACATACCGCACATACGGGATGTGGGCAAAGCACAACCGGAGAACCAAATGCATAATAATTTTTCGTATAGTTTATGGATGCGTCTAATTTCCTTGTTAGACTGCTTACGTACCCTAAGAAGGGATCAAGTCATTCGTAGTTCATCATTTACTACACTCCGACGTTTATCATAGTACGTTCTAACATACAAGCATATCATCCCTTAATCAATTATCACATGACAATCAAGATTTCCACTTCATCCATCATATAAATCACAATGTTTCCCCACATAAAATCACAATACATAGCATGCAACATATTAAAGAATCAAGCATAATATTATTTTCTAGCCATATTGAACAACTAAAATAATCAGACTAATAACAATCATATCCAACATCATTCCACAATCCCATCACTTAATCAATTCTTGAATCAAAATCATTCCACAATCCCATCACTTAATCAATTCTTGAATCAAAGATGCATGATTTTGACTTTTAACTATGTTAATCAATCAATGAGATAACAAATCATTTCACGAATTTAATTAAAGAGCTCTATATACTTCCCTACTTGGATTTTGAGTAATAACATGGTATATAAATTCACAAGACTATTGTGGGTAATTCCCATTCACTTGAATCTAGGATTCTAAGATAACTTATGGAAATGAGCAAGAGCAAGGATCCGAACCACTCAACGGAATCCAACTACATCGGGTTCCACTCAACGGAACCAAAGTATCAAGCGGTTTCTCGTAATCTACCCAGGCCTGTCACATGTAAAATCAATGCCTACATTATAAGAATGGTACACTAGGCAAATCAGGCACTCAGATAAGTTTCGAGGCTCGGGTGAGTGACAATAATGCAAGTATGTGATATTTAATAAAAATAGACCATCGATCACAATCTATAAACATCGAGTATAGAATCATGCTTTATGAAATCATAATCAAGTCGCTGAAAACTCTGAAGAAGTCACCTAGACAGCCAACGGTTTTTCTAATTCAAACCACAAGATTTTCAAAACCATCGTTCATATGTACATTAAAAACAAGGCTAGAGGGACGCAGTTCGGCCGAAGCCTACATAAGTAACCAAACAGGAAGTGGCCCCACTATAGTGGATTAACCAAGCAGAGCCCCCCTGAGTAACCATATAGGTAGTGACCTCCCATCACGGATTAACCAAGCAAAGTCAGTTCTACGAATCTGGTAGGTAGTGATCACCCATCGTGGATTAACCAAGCATGATCACCCCTAAGTATGTATGGCCATAAGGATCGCCCATCGTGGATTAACCAAGCACGATCCATAAATAATATGGTCCCCTATCATGGATTAACCAAAGATGACCACTAGTGACCCCTTATTGCGGATTAACCAAGGAGGGTCAAGATAACCAAGTAGGTAGTGACCTCCCATCGTAGATTAACTAAGCAAAGTCACACCTACAGAATGGTTAGGCAGTGATCACACATCGCGGATTAACCAAACATGATCACTCTTAAGTATACATGGCCATAAGGATCACCCATCGCGGATTAACCAAGCGCAATCCATAAATAATATGGTCCCCTATCACGGATTAACCAAGCAAGACCATCCATGTACCACTGCTACATGGTGCAGACTCGGTATCACCTAACCCCGTGACACTAAGGTAACGGTCCCCCACTAGCCCTCAGTTTAACAAACATTTCAATATGCACTTCAAATCAATTTTTCCCAAATATTTCCAATCCATGAATCAAATCACATTTGATATAATAGATCGATGGTCAATTATAAAAATCACATTTTAACAGAAAACACATTTATAAAACCAAGTCATATCCACAAAGGATACTAATATAAGAAAACAGGGTAATAACCATATCACATACATTAAAGTCACTCACCAAGACAAGTTTGCAAAGCCTCACTAAGTCTCTAGTAATACTAATTTTAGTAATTCAAATGGTTCAAGACCTATTGACCAAAAATCAACTCTCAGTCAACGGTGGGGTTCACATCCTAGTAAATTCAAATGGTTCAAGACCCATTAACGCCTAAGCGCTGGGCGTCGGGCTGCCTCTGCGATTCTTTCAAAAACGTTCAGCAAATCGGCAAGGGTATTAGGCGGTGCTAGGCGCCAAGCTATGCGATCTCCGCGATGGTTCTATTAAAATATTATACTTTCATCGTTTCGTTACACCGCGAAGGTGACGACATAAAATTTGAAAAGAGCAATAAAGAGAGTGTGAGGGAAGAGTAAGCGTGAGAGAGATCTGTATAAGGAATAAAAATAATAGCGCAATTGCATAAAAACGAGAACTTTGACCTGGAAGCTTCAGATTTCTTTGCAGGAGAAGATTTCTTCACTGTGCTTGAGGAATTTAACAAGACTCATGATTAGTTTGTTGGAAATTATACAAAGCAAGAAGATGGAAATTAGGCGAAGCAATTGAAGAAGAATGGAAGGGAAAGGAAACGAGAAACCCCAAAATAAAGGCCTTGTTGATTGCCAAACCTTAAACCACTCCCGGGGAAGAAAATAATGACTCCCCTTTGTCAGATGGATTTCCAACATTATTAAACAAATATGTTATATATCGTTATATATTTCCAAGGCTTCAAAAACCACTCCCAGAAACGATAATAATGACTCCTCTCTGTCAGATGGATTTCCATCATTATTAAACAAATATATTATATATCTATTTCCAAAGCCTTGCGATTTCCTAAGCTTATTAACTATATTAAAAAAAGTTACCTACTTCACTATTAAACAAATATATTGTATATTATTATCTTCTTCTTCTTTTTCAAATTATGTACTTAAAATTCTTACATTACCTATATATATATTATTTTGTGGTTTATGATGGAATCATATATATTTTAAGTATAAACAAATACTTATTTACTCGAAATATAATAAATTTAATTAAATCCGCCTAGTCCGCCTAGGCGCCTACCTAGACCTCGCCTAGCCGCCTAGACGCTAAGCCTCAGCCCTCCGCCCGACTAGCGCCTAGCGTCTTTTAAAACTTTGGCTCACATGCATGCAAAAGACATTTTTTGAATTAAGGTTCGCTACGCGTGACTTACACATTTTATTACGGGTGCTACGCACCTCTAAAGATCTTTTATGTATGTCCAAAGTCCAAACCACATGTTTGGCAAGCGTCTCATTTTTGAATTAAGGGGTCAATTTTAATTACACAAAGTATGAAACAATTTTGTTGCATTGTGAGAAGGTTTGAATTAAATGAATAATATTAGACCATGCTAAAAAAACCCATTGGATATTCCACGTAATAATGGGATACTACTTTAAAAATAAATAAATAAATAAATAAATCTATGACAGAAAAAAAATACCATTATGAAATTACCCCTGTATTATTTTGGGTTGTTTTTGAACCTTTTTGTTTGGGGGGCATTTATGTCCCAGTGTGCGTTATCTGGGATGCCATCGGAGTACTAGCTAGCTTGGCGAGTTTAATGTGGCGGTTTTCGGTTTAATTTATAGTCTAGCTGCCGCTACTGCTTGTACGGATAAAGCGCATCCAGCCAGAAAATGGTAACAATAAATATTCGATCATTTTAAGCTTTTATTGGTTTAAACATACTTTGTTAATTTATCAAGCAAAGCATATCCGTAGAAGCGGTAGCGGCAGCTAGACTATAAATTAAACCGAAAACCGCCACATTAAACTCGCCAAGCTAGCTAGTACTCCGATGGCATCCCAGATAACGCACACTGGTCAGCCAGATCAAGACGAGGAAGAGGATAATTCAGGCCAATTTGAAGATATTGAAGAGTTGAAAACCCCCTATCGATTTGTCTTGGAGGATAAATGGGACGAGGTGAAGGAATACTATAAGCAGAATCCGAGAATGTTGCACCGCCAAATGACGCTGCAGGGGGACAATGTACTTCACCTTGCCGCTTCTTCTTGCAGCAAATTACAATGCAAAGAAGTCCTCGAATTTTTAGTCGATATATGCGTCAATGACAGTGACAGCAATTCAACCGACAAGTACAAGAGATTGTCCACCCACGACTACAATAGATGGTCCTTGAGGGTTCAAAATAAAGGCGGAAACAATGCTCTTCACCAGGTGAGTGTGTCCGGTAGTGTGGAAGCGGCTAGGTTCTTGGTGAGGAGGTTCAACGAGCCTATCGCAGATCCAAGTATTCCCAATCTGAACTACCCTAGTATTGATGATGAAAAGAAACATAACCCTGCGCGGAAGCTGCTGTGGACTCGGAATGGTTTAGGAGAAACTCCACTCTACAGAGCGGCTGCTCGCGGTCACAATGGCTTGGTCAAGTTTTACATGGAAAAAAAGCCGGACGATTATTGGCAGCACTTCCTGAGACATGACAAAATGACCGCTCTTCGTATGGCTGTCATTGGCCAACATTTTGGTCTCTCTCTCCCTCAAAAATGCATACATTGATTCACAACACTTACTATATATATATATATATATATGCAGAGATGCAGATTATAACTTTTGCTCTTTTGTCTTCCACAATGCAGAGACTGCTCATTGGTTGCACAAGAACTTCACTTTACTGGGAGAAATGCCAGACGAGGAGGGATTGACAGGCCTTAAATTGTTAGCCCATATGCCAAAGGCCTTTGAGCCACATTTTCAACAAAGCCATTGGAAGATGCTCATTTATCATTGTACGTATCATTGCTCTATTGTTATGTGTTGAGAATGAGTCTCCTATTAATGAAAGGAGGAAACTTGCATGGGCTTATAAGAGGTTGGGCTACTCCCCATATTGCCAATTGGTTTTATGGTGAAACCTCAATTTAATTTGTTCACTAAGTACACGTGTATGTTTGTGCATGCACGTTTCCTTTTGAAGCATTAATCTCGTACTTAATTGTTGTTGTATATGCAGGCCTTCCTAATGGAGAAGATGTGGAGATGGATGGAGAAGATGTGGAGATGGATGACGTGGAGAGCGGCATGAAGAGCAACCATCCCCGTCAATCCATCTTTCGGAAGAAACTTGCAGGTAATCAAATTTGTAATCTAATTAATTGATCAAATAATTAAACGGCTGCCTAGATAAAGCGTTTCTTCAATTGGATTTTTTCAGTGTTCTTAACGCAGTTGCATGCATAAACTATTTGGCAGTTGTCATGAAGTCTTACTATTCGTTACTGGACTCCCTTGAAGGTTTGTTTACTTTCCGCCTTTGCCTCAGATCATTTTCATCAAGGCGAACTCTTGTTACTGGAACTCTAAAAAAGGAACATTATTTACTCATTCCTCATTATTTTACATGAGAAGATGAAGAGTGCATGATTACTTCTTTAGAATGCCGATACATCTTCCTATGACACGTTAGTTAATGTATACATATGCTTGATCATGTGATGGATAGGAACAGGAGGCCTTGCTGGCACAATCTACAGAATATGGAAAGACAAGAAAAATAAAAATGCACTAAAGAAACTCATCAAATCGCTCATCCTAAGGGACGATACTTGGCTGGTTACTAGTGAAGAAAACAGCAGGACCATTTCTCTGGGGTCATGGAAAGATCCTGAGAAAGATGGTGATGGTGGAGGCAAAACAGGAAAGGCAATTACAAAAGAAACCAAATCGGCATTGAAAGAGACGGCGATGTTTGAAGTTAACAAATCTACCCCATTGTTTATAGCAACTGTCAAAGGAAATGTACCCATTGTGCAGGAGATACTTGAGAAGCATCCTCAAGCAGTCGAGCACATTAACCATAAGGAACACAACATTTTGCATCTGGCCATTAAGAACCGCCAGAAAGAGATCCTTAAGCTTATCGTAAGCAAACCAACTTTGATGTCGATGTTGAATGAAAGGATAGACCACCAAGGAAACACCCTATTGCACCAGGCTGCAGATAGGAGTTACTACTCTATATCATTGACTCAGCAATTAATAGGCCCTGCCATGCAATTGCAAGAAGAGCTGCACTGGTTTGAGGTAACGTTCTATTGCTAAACTTATGTTATTTCACAAATATTTATATTACCGATTAAGTCTATCGATCTTATAAAATACTTACGTTGTCAGGAAAATACTTATGTTATCTAATTAAGTATGTTCAGCTGGTAAAAGGCTCATGTTGTAAGACAAATATTTCTGTTAGAAAATCTATATATGTGGACATGATTATTATGTACGTCTGTTTGTGTCAGCGTGTAAAAGGGATAATACCGCCTCATTACACCATTCACCACAACCTTTACAATCAGACAGCGGACGACTTGTTCAACTATTGGCATGACGAACTTTTGGAGGAAGCACAAAAATGGGTAAAAGACACGGCTCAGTCATGCTCAACCGTGGCGGTGCTAGTTGCCACTGTAGTCTTTGCAGCTGCCTACACCATTCCCGGGGGGACTAATGGCCAAAATGGCCTTCCTCTTTTCCAGAATGATCCTCTCTTTTTGCTCTTCACCTGCATGGACGTTGTGGCCATCGCCAGCTCATTATCTTCTGTGGCATTCTTTCTCTCGGTCCTCTCCTCCCCTCTCGAGTACCCACTTTTTGTTAGCAGCATTCCTAACAAGATCATGGCAGGTTTCGTCTTGCTCTTCATTTCCATGGCAACAACCATGCTCGCCTTTGCTGCCACCATTTTGTTGTTGATTCGCGTCGAGAAGAAATGGACCAAGTCTCTACTTTACCCTATTGCCTTTTTCCCTGTCCCTCTATTCGGCTTGCTTCAATTTCCTATGTATCATTCCTTCAAAGTCGTGTTTCATGAAATTAATGCCTGGTTTTTCAAACCCTTACTCGACTTGCTTGGCTTTCCCAAGAAGAGATCAATATGGGGCAAGAGTAAGGCAGATTGAATCACACATACAACACAATGTGATGCAGATTCACAATCTTGTAACATAAGTATTTATTGTTATTGTCGTTTGAATATTTCGGATTTTTTTTATTTTCTCCCCTATTTTCACAGTGTTATTGTGTCTTCATTCACAAGTAATGGCAATAAGTGAAGAATGTCACAAATTGTATGTTAAAGATTGTGTCTTTTGTATGCTTTTATTGATTTGTAATCATCATTTGTGTTTATATGTCATCCTTAAGTAAGTGGTGGATTTTATTCAAAAAAAATAAAAGTAATTGGTGAATTGCTTTGGTAGATTGAATATTCTTCTTCAACTTGAATTTAGATCATATCCCCTTTCTCTTTGTGTAAAATAAAATAATAATATCACTTGTAATAAAATTAAAAAATAAATCATATTCAAGCGTAATCAAATTAGTTAAACTAATATGCTTCTCTTCTACACCAACACTCGCATCCTCCTCCATGATAATTAAGCGATTATACTTGGCTGCCTCGTAGGTATTGGCGGAGGTCAATGCTTTTGTGAAGTTGGTCTGACGGTCCACCATGGCGACTTCACAATATTTTTCTCCGTTGAAAAGGAGAAAAATATTTGCAATAGTGAGTGCATTTTGCTCACCCCATAAAGTGGGGTTGATTTCACCCCTCATTGGGTATCGTTAGGTTAATTTGATGATTTAATTGATTTAAGGCATAAATCTTAAATTTAAATTAATCTAGCAATAAACAATAAGATAAGAAGATTTGAACTTCAATAATGTTATTCTTATCACAATTTTATACTACATTTCTTTGCCATTTGAGATGGCAGATGAGTTGGACAGCCACATCATCTAAATTAATTAGCATTTAATCAAAATATTAATCGATAATTAATAAAAAGATTGTTAATTAAATGATGATTGTGGTATGAGAAGTCTCATTCTTCCACCTAAGATTATTTAAGTATTTTAATTAATAAAAAGATCGAAATTAAATGATGTAGCTTGTCCAACTCATCTGTCATCTAAGATGGTAAAGAAATATGGTATAAAATTGTGGTAAAAATAGCATTACTCTAACTAGAGAAAAGATAATGAAGGTGACGCATAGCCTGGGATAGGCCTGCAGGGCGGCATAATATATGTATTAATTAAGCAGCATCCTCAGGCAACTATCAGAGGAATTGTGCCTTTTTTGGAGGAGATACTTGAGCAGCATCCTCAGGCAGTCGAGCACGTTAACTATGACGAGCGCAACATTTTTCATTTGGCAATTAAGCACCGTCAGAAATCGACTCTTAAGCTTATTAAAAGCAAACCAACTGTATTTGTCAAGGCTGAATGAGAGGATGGACTGCGATGGAAACACCATATTGCACCAGGCTGCGGATAGAAGTTTCTACTCCATAGCATTGTCTCAAAATGTAATTGGTCCTGCCATGCAGTTACAAGCAGGGCTGCGCTGGTTTATGGTAACGTTCTATTGCTAAATTTATGTTGCCAGACAAATCCCTTGTGCTACTGCTAAGTTGTGAACTTGACAAAAGCCCTATGTTGTCAGACGAATACTTATGTTACTAATTAAGTCCATTGACATGATAACAAAAATTATGTTGTCAAACAAACACTTACGTTACAGAATATGCAGATCGACTGATAAACGTGCACGGTGTTTGTGTCAGCGTGTGGCAGTATACTACCACCTCACCACGGCATGCACCACAACAAAGAGGATCAAACAGCAGAGGAGCTGTTCTACCATGAGCATAACGAGCTTTTGTTGTTTGCGCAAGAACGGATAAAAGAAACGGTTGAGTCATGCTCAACCGTGGCTGTGCTAGTGTCCACTGGCCACTGTGGTCTTTGCAGCCGCCTACGCCATTCATGGGGTTAATGAACAACGTGGCCGTCCTGTTTTCCAGGATGATCCTCTCTCTTTGCTATTCACCTGCACGGACGTTGTGGCCATCGCCTGCTCAATGTCTTCCATGGCTCTCTTTCTCTCTGTTCTCTTTCTCCACTCGAGTACCCGCTTTTCATTAGCAGCCTTCCTCGCAAGGTCGTGACCGGATTCATCTTGCTCTTCTTGTGCATGGCAACCACCATGCTTGCCAGAAATGGTACAAGTCTCTACTTTACCCTATTGCCTTTTTCCCAATCCCTCTATTCGGTTTGCTGTAATTTCCTATGTATTAATCTTTCAAAGTCATGTTTCAGAAAATTGATGCCTGGGTTTTCTTTCTTGGCTTTTTCAAGAGGAGGTCAATATGGGAGTAAGGAGTATTGGATTATATAAACTTTTCATCACGGCATAATATGTGCTGCAGATTTACAGTCTTTCGGCATAAGAAATTGTGAGATTTGCAGTTATCAATTGAATATTTCAGTTGGGTTCTTCTTCTTTTCTCATCAATATAATAACACAATTTTATTGTATCTTCATTTTAAATTATGGGCAAATTAGAAAAAGCAGTGTGTTTCCCTCTCTGGACTCAAGTTCGAATCCACTTTCCATAGTTTGGGTTGGATTTAGATTTTAGAATATGATACAATAATTTGAGTTAGTCCTAGTTTGGCATTGAGGTGCTTAAAAAAAAGTAGGGATGAAAAAAAGCTAGAGTAAAATTTGTGTTTGGTAACTTTGCATATTTTCAAATTCACTGTCATTTTCAGCTAAAAATGGCAAAATGCTGCTTCCCAAAATCAGAATTTTTTTTCAAGAGGAGGGTGAACAGTAGAATTTAATGAAACTTTCACAATCTCAAATATACTCTCCTCTGTTTCTCCTTCTTGCTGGGTTGAAGATCGAATCTTCATAGTTGATATTCTTATTTCGCTGGACATGAGGAGGAGGGAGAGGGGATGAGATCCAAGAGGTGGGCGGAGGAATCGAGGTGGATAACGGGGCCTCACGCCTTGGGACAAGGGACAGTGAAGGAAGCCATTGAAGTGTGCGGTGAAGCAAAGCAAAACCAAAGTGAGCTCCTCGTTTTGATTCCCGCAGAGAGATAGGAATTGGGAATGGAGAAATGGGGAAATGGGGAGGTGGGATCTGAAGGGGGAATGGGAATGGTGGGGGAAGGATATGTAGAGGAGGGAGGAGTGATGAGATCCAAGAGGTGGGTTTGTTTTGGTGTTTGGGGATTAAGAAATTTGAGAGATGGGGGAAATGGGCAGAATGGAAATGACTGATTTTGTCCTGATTCTTTTCGGAGAGCTCAGGGATTTGAGTTCTCAGATTTTCTTATCCCCAACACCCAAAACACGATTCCCGTAACCCAAACTTGGGGTTAAATTCGTAGGGGTGGAGATGATGATAATCTGGTGGTGAGATGGTCTAAGATTGAAGGTTTGTGTGTGGGGTTGTCTCGGTGGAGGAGAGAGTGCAGAGAGAGAGAGCTGAGAGTTTTGAAGAGAGTTCGAGAATGTAGAGGGAAAGGAAGACACGGGGATAAGGGAAATAGGATGTGGGCACCACGGCCACACAAAATCCTCACGCAAAAATAGTAATATTAAATAAAATATCATAATAATAATATAGTATTATACCTTTTTTTTGTCATTTCACATAGTCACAGTTGTTTTACATAAAAGTTTACTAAACACTATCATACTGTTTTTTTTTCCAAAAGCACTTTTACAAAAATGTTTACCAAACACTCTGCTGCTTTATTTCACAGCTGCTTATTCTCACAGCACAGTAGAAGCAGTTTTTTTTCAAATCACATTAATATCAAACCAGTCCTAAGTACAAAAGACAAAAACAAAAAAGACTAAAGTTGACAACATCTCATCAGTTAATGAAATTTACACAATAAAAAATCAGAGCAAACTTCATGAAACACCTCGAGTATAAGCTCACGATACTCATCCGAATTCATCGAAACATAATAATTCAAAAGGCTACGAAGATCTTTAGGCTCTTCTATCCGGTTTGCCATTATCATCGCCGCCATGGACTCCCTGAAATCCTCCCTCGGATCATAAGAACACTTCTCCATTCCAACCATTACAACAAATTTAGTCCCTCCTGCTTGAAATTGATCATGATCATCACCAGCTCTCTGCTTTCTTCTCCGATGATCAACGTGCCTCGAGCCCTCCTGCCCTTCCCTGATCATCTGGTCGAGTCTTTCTTGAACCATGGCATGCGATAGGCTTGATATTGAAGGGTACCTGTCGGAACTAGGGCTGGCTACTTCCTCCGAGCTAGACGAAGACACGCTAAGCCGGCAGCTGCTGCAACACAATGCCTTGCATATTCTCTGTTGCTGCTTGGAAGAGGCTTTCGGTTTTGACATGGTTTGAATTGGAGCTTTGAAGGAAGTTTCGTGCCAAATTAATCATTTATGCACCCTTGGCATTTGTGGGGTTTGTTAATCATGATTGTGTCTTGTGTTTTACAACATTTTAATAGATGGGTTGGTGAATGAAAGAAGGCAAATGGGGAACATTCTTTTAGTTAATCGAGCCAGTAATCATGATGCTTAATAGTTTACTTTGTAGGGTCTAATTACTGTTACTTGGCACATCCTTTTGAAGAGTTTGGTTAACATGAAAAGTACTGGTTCCATTCCATGAGAGCTTGTTAGGAAGGCTCCGTATGGGATTGCTATTGTAGAAAGTATCTGCGGGAAACATATACCTAATTCTTCATAATACAAGAAAAAAGGGTAAAGTTTTTTTTTTTTTTTGGAAAGTCACTTTGAAGAAGAAGAAATGCATAATGTGTTCTTCTCTAGAAAGTGCTCTATGATCCATAAGCACTTTTAACAATTTTAGCCAAATATAGTCGTAAGTTCTTGATTGTTAAGAAGACTTTAAAAGTCTTTGGAAGAACTTTTTAAGTAAAATTTTGACATGCTTCTAATAAAAGTAGTTATGTTATGAGATCATAATAATTTTTTGTAGTTAAACATTTCCCAACATGGCCGAAAACCTATTTGATTAAAGTGATTATATGGTTTAGGTACAAAAAAGTGCTTTTGCTAGATCTCTTTTAAAGTTTTAGATGATAAGAGGACGTGGAGAGATTCCATTCATCTAAATTAATGACTTGTTTAGTTCTTCATGTTGCCCTATCTAATTATGCAGAAGAAATTGAATTAAATGACATCATTAACACATTGTTTGGATTAATATGGATGATCATCTTTAATCCATATGTAGAAAAGCATCATTTACTGGTAATCAAGTTGTTAAAACAAGTCGACGATGTTGCGATAATGATCATTAGTAACTAAAAAAGCAAAGAGAAAAGCATAGCAGCCTAAGATTAAAGTGATATGCTGGCTAAAGTCA